GAAAACAGCAGATCTGTGGGTGCACGAGTGTCACTTTTGTCCAATTTTTTAAAAAGAGAACCGTCCGCACCAGTTATTTTTCCAGGCATGGATGCTTTGCACAATGAACCGTTTCATTTTAAAACTTTTAAACACTTGCGCCTATCGCACCACCTGAAATCTTGTCAGTGTGTCAGGATCGCAGAGGTCTCACCATGAGCGTGATTATCATCTAATTCGATTTTCAACTGCTTTCTTTTGCTCACACCATCTCTCACTCTGCCCCCTCATTGGGCAATCCTTATTATTGAACTGCGTTTTAAGAAAACTACAATTAAAAAATTATCTTCAACCAGACAAAAGGACAAGTGGGAGTGACTCTCTAACACGCCACAGCTGAAATACCCGTTTTTGGCGGGCTGGCGAGTATTCATCATGTCAAGCCCTGATTACTAACAATAGTCAGATTTGCTTTCTCACTTGTCTTGATATGACTTGTTAGAATGGAAAATGGCGTTTTAAATAAGTATGAGTATCTATTATAATTATTATTATACCTAAAGAACAACTACTAGTACATAAACAATATAATATGGTCACAATTAGATCAAATGTCCTAACAGCTTGCCATACTATGCCAGCCAATGGAACTGTAAATTTGAAGTTTCAAGTATTTGCAACAAGTTTCTCCAGGGTTGACAGAAACAGGCAAGTATTTCTTAAACTCGCAAAGAATGACAATAAAGGCCAGTATGACACATTATGCAATGTTAACATCAAAGATAGGATTGTAGTTCTGCTTAGTTTGGCTATCTTGAGCAAATTCTGCAGCACTATACTTTATAACCAGCTTACCCAAGAGAGCCCTTTGAAAAGAGACTTACATTGTACTCCAGGCAGAGCTGTTTTAATACCTCTAAAGACCATTTCATCTTTGCAGAGAGCAGAAATCCGAATTTTAATCCTAAATCGGTTAAGCTTATTTATGGTCTTGTGAAGCACAAAGGATGTATCAGTTAAGGGGAACCAAAGGCAGTGCTTTATTTTAATACATTTTGAATGACATTCAAATATGCTCCTATCTGAGCTGAGGATCCAGTGATTTCCCCACATTATCCAAATGTGAGCCTCATCTGATCTTAATAAACACCACAGGTGAAATAGTGAGCAAGGTGATAAGCAGCCTTGTGCTGTTATACAAAAACACACTGCTATTATCCAAAGACTTAACACTTTACAATAACAGTACATGGATAATCATGCATTGATATGTCAATTAAATATTACTTTATTATGAATTAATGATGAGTTAAGCCATGCTCTAATCATGAACTATCTTTAACTAAAACATGAGTCACAAGAGTTCATCAGTAAATTATGGTTACCTTAATTACTTGTTAGTACATGTTGTTATTTAATTTATTAATTAGCATTTAAGCTAAATGCAACCAACAGGAACTCATGAGCTGTTAATGTATAATTAAGCCATGACTTTACCTGGAGGGGCACATCACCATTAACTCATCCTTAACTACTCACTACTCAACTCCTATGTTTAAACTGTTCATGTTGATGTGACTGAACACTTTTCTATTATTATTCAGCGTAAACGCTATAGACAGATGTGCATAAGGAGTTCATGAGTAGTTAAGAATGGGTGAATGTTGATTTGCCCCTCCAAGTAAAGTCATTATATACTTATACATTAACATGTCATGAGTTCATGATGGTTAAATTAAGCATAAACTAATGTGGTAATTAATACATTAATTAACAAACAATTAACAAGTAATTAAGGTACATTGTAAAATAAATCCGTAATTTTACGGTTTATTTCCAGAAGCTGGGGTGCCGAAAAAAAAAAAAACTTAAATTACAGATATTTTTACAGTTTAGCTGTTATTCACACATGAACTTTTGTGACTTGCGTTGTAGTTCAAGTTAGTTCTTGATTAGCACATGCCTTAGCTCATCATTTGTCATTAATAAAGTGATGTTTAGTTTACAAATGAACGCATCATTATTCATGTACTTTTACTATAAAGTGTTACCAAGACTTTAAATGTGAAATGTGTGCCATGGTCTTTATTTGCAGTATGGCAAGATTAATAAAACTTTATAATATTTACTTAATTGTAAACAATTATTGAAGTGTTATTTGTGACACACTGTGCTTATGTGTTAGCTTTTCTGTGAAATTTAAATTATTTATCAGATATTTGTGAAGTGCTGTTTAAAACATAATTTTAACTATTATAACTATTTTATTTGGTCTATACCAGTCATTCTTTTTCCACTAAGTACCACCTCAGAAAAAATAGTCTCTCCAAGTATCACACTCTCAGAAATAAAGGTACGCGAGCTGTCACTGGGTTGGTACCTTTTCAAAAGGTAAACATTTGTACTTAAAGGGTTCATATTGGTACTTCAAAAGTATGTATTAGTACCTAAAAAAATTAAGGGGAACAATTTTGTACTTTTTATGTACTAATATATACCCTTGAGGTATTAATAAGGACCTTCTAGGTACAAACTTGTACCTTTTGAACAGGTAACACACCAGTGACAGCTCGCGAATCCTTAATTTATGAGAGTGCACCATAATGACTGGTATTAAAATACATAGTAGGTCTAATTAAGCAGCTATTTTCAGGCACTTAAAACATAAAAAATAGTTTGAACAATAACACACTTACAGGTTAAAATAAATAAACAAACAAATAAATAAATAAATAAATAAATAAGACTTCAACGTTTAAATTAAAATGTGATTTTAAAAGTTAATTAAAAATGGCACTGTTTTTAAAAAGTTAAAAGAAAACTGCTGTACTTAAATGTAAAGTATTATCATAAATAATAATACTGGCCATTCCAGGTGGACCCGGTAAGATGGGTCCCACATGGACAAATATTAGAAATGGGGCCTAATTGGTTCTACCAAGTATTGAGTCCCGCATGGGCATCCTATATATATACACCTTACTAGTACCAGGTTGGATCCCCATTTGCCTTCAGTACTGTCTTAATCCTTCAGGACATAAATTCAACAAGTTACTGGAAATATTCCTCAGAGATTTTGGTCCATATTGGCCTGTTATCCTGCTGGAAGTAGCTATTAGATGATGGGTGACTGTGGTCACTGTGGCAATCCCAGGTGGGTCCCACATAGGCCATCCCGGGTGAGTCCCAAACAGGCCATCCCAGGTGGGTCCCACATGGGCAATCCCAGATGGGTCCCACATGGGCCATCTCATCTTGATGGATTCAGGGCACGTGCCACAGTAAAAATCGGTACGATTTACTTTATTTGCAAGTGTATTTATTAAGAGTGGTAATCCTAGAGTAAAGATGTTATTCTTTATGTGCAATCGAACTAACGCCGACGAAAGCAATGTAGTTTAATCAAAAAGGAAACTGAGTATGTGCGCAGAAAAAAATATACCCGCGCGCCCCACACACACACCTCTACTGCCTGACGTTGAGTCACAGATCGCTTTGGATTTCTTCATCAAGTTTGTTTAGTTCATTTACTTTCAAGACCTTGAAGAGTAATTATTTTGTCTAAAACAAATAGTCATCCATAAACTACAAAAATCATAAATGTAAAAATCCTAAATTTTGTTTGACAAACAGCTCTACTGGAACAGAATTAGGTAAATATCACACAAGTAGCAGTGCGAAGTGGCTGTATATTGACACGAGGCTGCAGGCCGAGTGTCTTAATGTCCCACCAGGGATGATATACAGCCATATGGCACCACTACAAGTGTGATATTGCATTTATACAACAGTTCGATGGCATACTCGTGTGTATAAAGAAGAAAGTCAGAGCCTAAAAACCCTTTTGTATTAGGAACTACTTTCTTCCGCCATTCCTTCACATCTGCAGCTGACTCTTGTTTTTGGGCCCCACGTGACCATCCCAGGTGGGCCCCACTTTCAGAACCTTGAAGAGTAATTATTATTTTTGTAAAACAAATAGTCAAATCATACAAAAATCATAAATGTAAAAATCCTAAATTTAGTTTGAGCAACAGTGATTCACTGATTCAAAAACCAGACAGAACTGTTGTGTGTATATATATATATATATACTGTAGGGCGAGGCGGTGGTGCAGTGGGTAGCATGTTTGCCTCACAGCAAGAAGGACTCTGGTTCGAGCCTCCGGTTTCCTCCACAAGGGTATATATATATATATATATATATATATATATATATATATATATATATATATATATATATATATGTATGTATGTAAATATATATATATATATATATATATATATATATATATATATATAATCTGAATATGCAAATGAGGCATTATTTTATAATTTTTGTGAAAATTTGCATCTAAATATCTAGACATTGTAAGTTTAACAATTGTACAATGAAAACATTGTGCTCTTACATACTGTAAAATTTACAAAACACCCGCTCACAGCCCCCCTTTCCCCCCCCAAAAAGAATACATTTTTAACAATAAATAAATAATATATTGTTTAAAAGACTAAATTGTAATTTATAAGATAACTTATATTAGGTATTAATCAAGATTTATAAGATATGAATTAAAGATATGAATCTGAAATTTATGCAAGCGCTGCTGAAATGAATATTTATGTTTCAGTGGAGAAGAACATAATAATATGAGGAAAACTATTTAAAACGGTGTGGCTATTGTAAATGTACAGACACTAATTGCTACAGTGCATCAACAACGAAATTCTGACTTCATGACTGTTTTGATTTTTTATGTCTATTACAAAACGCACATAACAAAACTGTCCAGAGCTGCATATAGAATTTGCATAGAATTTTGGTAAATCTGACCGGGTGTTTTCAGGCTGACCCGCGCTGGACTCTTTGCTGAGGTCGCTCACACACTCGTATTGCTTCACCCTCCCTCTCTCGATCACATGGCGGTAACATTTACTCGTGTTGCACTGAGCTGAGCTGCACCTAAAGTTCAGCTGGCCTGAAACACTGCGTTTGTGTGAGGCTGTGTGTAGAAGCTGATAAAGACAGAGGGACTGAGGGGAAAGAGGACACCTGTAGCGCACACTCGCCTCTCAAAGCGCAATTTCAGAGGCTGCTGGAGTCATCAAAGCCCGGGAAGAAAACAGGTGAGCAGGACAAGGAGAAGCAGAGATACTTAATACTGAGGAGGACTGACGATTAACGACGGCCACCATGGTTTAACTTCTCCTGGACACCTGTTTTTCTAAAGCCAGCGAGAGAAAAGACAACTTTTCGAAGAGGAGAGAAACAACATTTCAGGTGAGGAGGATGCTTTACCCTGTCAGGATCTTAAAGGGATAGTTCACACAAAAAATTAGAATTCTGTCATTTGTACAGCCTGCACTTGCTTACAACGTACTTGACTTTCTTTCTCTCGTTAAACATTAAAGAAGATGTTTTTAAGAAACCTGGAAACCTGTAATCATTGACTTTCATAGTACTTGTTTCCCTACTATGGGAGTCAATGGTTACAGGTTTTTATCTTTCTTCAAAATACTTTTTTGTGGTTAACAGAAAAAAAGAAACTCATAAAGGTTTAATACCTTACGAAGAATGTTTTTAAAACTATCCATTAAGTTTTCATTATGTCTTGTGAGATTTTTGTATATGACAGTAACGTATTACAATAAACTAAATGCACAAAAACGTTACTTGAAATAAGACAAAATATAAAACAATTATTATTTACTTTGGCTAAAGTTGTCAGATTTGACAGTATCTGTACATACAATAAAAAAAAACATCGAAATTAATCATTTATTGATCAGGGGTCGCCACAACGAACGGGGAGAACATGCAAACTCCACATAGAAATGCCAACTGATTCAGCCGGGACTCGAACCAGCGTCCTTCTTGCTGTGAGGCGACAGCGATACTCACTGAGCCACCCCTTTAATTAAAATAAATACTAAAACAATCAATAACCGCAGAGTCATTTTAACTCTCCTGCAGTTTTAGAAATCTGCATACACCATTCGTCCTTTGGGTTAAAAATAACTAAAATAAAGCATCTAAATTTCATTTCAATCCTCTAATCTATTTTGAATGAAGAAATGTTGTTTGCATCTTTTACATTAGTAAATAATATTTTAAACAGTGCATTTCTTGCATGTTCTGTAAAATATATTTTTAATGTAAATAATCATTTTATTTTAATGGGAAAATATGTCATCTCAAGACATCTCTGGCACAGCTTACAATCATCATCAATGTAATGCAAACATACTACGTGTAGTTACATTTTAATGAAGGCTGTGCGGGACAATACCAGTGCGTTCACTGCCTTAACAGCACAGGATCACATGACTTCACAAGGGAAATAGACAAAAGTAAGGAAAGTAATTGAAAATAATTTACTGGAAAAATTAGATTGATTATAGGTTCCGAATGTTGAATTCGTTTACTTTTAGATTAATAGCCCAGCCCTTTTCTTTTGTTTTCAACAGAAGAAAGAAACTCATAAAGGTTTAAAACCTCATGAGGGAGAATAAAAGATAATGCTACACACAATATGTATTTATTTCCTTGTAAACTGCAACAAATGATCAAGTGAAGGTCTTTAAAATCAAATATCATGTCATATTTCCACACGAGACATGTAATTTTCGGGACACAAACTGCAGTGATATGACGTCCAGGCATAGACTTGCAGGCAAACGTGACACCCTCTGACTCCATAAGACTTGCTGCCCTCAGGTTAACCTCTGCTTCCCACAAACACTCGTATCACCGGGTAGGCTTTGAACCTGGTTAGTTATTTCCTAGCTTCAGACAGACTCAGTGTTCTCTCTCTGTGATCTCTGAGCATCTCGAGTGCCACATAAGGAGGAAGACAAAGTAACTTATTATCCAGCTCTGAGTGTTTAACTTCTGAGTGTCAGAGCTTCTTGTTGAAGGTCAGACGACTTTCAAGAATCAGCTGCTGATATGTAGAGTGCCCTCCTTTAATTTTGGCACCACTGGTGGAAGGTTGTGAATAAACGGCTTTATTGTTTAACCTTCTGATCTTTTCCTCAAAATATTATCCAAAAACATAAATAAATAAATAAGGAAAAGAAGATGCTTGAGTTTGGTTTTGGACGAGATCCTTAAACTATTTGTTGTGATGTAGGTGATATGGGATTGTAGTTTTGTAGAATTTTTAGGGGTTGTAGAACCCCTATATCTAAACAGTCGTGATTTTTGAAGTTTTTTTGAGCCATATAACATATAACCTCTACCATATAACACTTTCAGTTGACTGGAATTTCTAAATCATTGTCCTGATGGTGAAAATGGGCATTTTCTGTCTTTTTGCTATTTTTTCACAGCCACTTCCCATTTTGTAAAACTCAACAACTTTTTCAATTCACAGCCATGTTTTATTTTTACCCATTGTGATGAAAGACTGAGTGCCTTTGGCCCTTGTGTTGCTTCATATTTACATGGTTGAACAGTTTTCTGTTCTTAATCACACTAGAAAAATGTAAAACATCAATGGGAATATACTTCAAAATTGAGTTTAAACACTATAAAAATGCTGGGTTGTTGTAACCCAGTGCTGGGTCAAATAAACTCAACCTTTGGATTAAAAAGTGTAATTTAGGGCCCTATCATACACCTGGCACAATAAGGCGCAGGACGTGTATAGTGCAATTTGTTGCTATTTTCAGAGCAGCGCAACCCTTATTTTTACATTTTGCTCCACGTTGTTTAAATAGCAAATCCATTTGCGCTACTTTGTAGACTCGTGGGTGTGCTGGTCTATATATATAAGGAGGTGTATTATGCGCAATGTTGGTGCATTGCTATTTTGAGAAAGTAAAATAGACCATGTCTTTGACCAACTAAAAGCTGGTCTAAAGTCTAGTGCAGAGTGTGTTAGTTATCCCCCTGTCAGGTTTTGGAAATGTATGTGTCACTATATGGGGCATAAAAATAGGACGCGCGATTAGGATATACTGAACCGAATTTTGAAATTTACCCTTTACTTATTTTAAACCTTGATGAATTTCTTTCTTTTGTTAAGCACAAAAGATATTTTAAAGAAAGCTGGAAACATGGAACCATTGACTTAGTGTTATAGTATTTCTTTTTCCTTTTATTGAAGTCAGTGGTTAAAGGTTTCCAACATTTTCCAAAATATCTTTATCTTCTTCTTTTCATTTTTGGGTAAACTATTCCCATTAATGAAAAACCTTAACCCAATGTTGGGTTTGTCCGTATAGGGTTACAACATTTTTTAAAAAGAGATTCTTATGAGTAATAATTGGGACACTTGTCAATAATATTAGTTTTAATATTTTAATTTTAATTTAAATTTAGTTAAAATTTTTTCCACAATGAAAGCAGTATATTTAAAAACATATTTTGAGCAAAAGATCAAAAAAGTTTAAACAACGAAAATGTGCATATATATATATATATATATATATATATATATATATATATATATATATATATATATATATATATATATATATATATATATATAAATGAAAATACTGTTATTATTTACATTTTTATATTTAATTCTTCATAATTCATTCCTTTTTTGGCAGTCAGACATTTTTATTGATCTTTTAAGGAAAGAATCAATCTGACATGTGCCGTATGCATGCTGTGGCTCATAATGTGACATTATCATTACGTATGAACAATAAAAGCAATAAATTAGCCTTTACACAACTTAGCTGAGGAAAGCACCTGATTCCCAGGATTAAAAGTTGCAGTCATTTTCAGAGCGCAATAAGATCTCCCGTGCAGACATGGACAAACTACTTACCACAAAAAACCGAGTGCAATTAAGGTGAAAGAGTAGGAGCTGCTGCTAAAAGTGACTGAATCCTGTCATTATGTAATTGCAGAAGATCAGTAACAAATCCAGTGAAGAGTGTGTGTTACTTTATAACAAGGTTACCTTGTGTTCAAAATGCCCCCTTATTTTGCCATTGGCAGATACTGTGGCGTTATTTAAGTGTTATTTACTTTTTTTGTGCACTCAATTCTAATGAAAAGTTAAAAAATAAGTTATTCAGTAAGAATAAAATAAAAATACACAATTTGTTCACAGATTCCAATGCAGAACATGCAGAATTTAAATATTTAAATATTTTTAGCCTTTTAATAATACAAATAATGATTTGATTAAATGAACAACACTTTTAGCTAGATTCTGTTCCAATCCACTTCGTCAAATTTTATTTTTATAGTAAATTCTGCTAGTCTGTCCCCATCCACAGATGGATAGATAGATAGATAGATAGATAGATAGATAGATAGATAGATAGATAGATAGATAGATAGATAGATAGATAGATAGATAGATAGATAGATAGATAGATAGATAGATAGATAGATAGATAAAGATAAGTAGATGGATAGACAGATAGACAGACAGACAGACAGACAAACAGACAGACAGGCAGACAGATAAATAGGTAAATGGATAGATAGATAGATAGATAGATAGATAGATAGATAGATAGATAGATAGATAGATAGATAGATAGATAGATAGATAGATAGATAGATAGATAGATAGATAGATAGATAGATAGATGGATGGATGGATGGATGGATGGACGGATGGATGGACAGATGAATGTAGATAGATAGATAGATAGATAGATAGATAGATAGATAGATAGATAGATAGATAGATAGATAGATAGATAGATAGATAGATAGATAGATAGATAGATAGATAGATAGATGGATGGATGGATGGATGGACGGATGGATGGACAGATGAATGTAGATAGATAGATAGATAGATAGATAGATAGATAGATAGATAGATAGATAGATAGATAGATAGATAGATAGATAGATAGATAGATAGATAGATAGATAAAGATAGGTAGATGGATAGACAGATAGACAGACAGACAGGCAGACAGATAAATAGGTAAATGGATAGACAGATAGATGGATGGATGGATGGATGGATGGATGGATGGATGGACAGACGAACATAGATAGATAGATAGATGGATAGACAGACAGACAGACATACAGAGACAGACAGATAGATGGATGGATGGATAGAGGTAGGTAGGTAGGTAGGTAGGTAGGTAGTAGGTAGGTGGGTGGGTGGTTAGGTAGGTAGGTAGGTAGGTAGGTAGGTAGGTGGGTGGGTATTGGGTGGGTGGGTATATAGGTAGGTAGGTAGGTAGGTAGGTAGATATGTATCTTTCTGAAAAAGAAATCCAGCCTAAAGTCTTAGTTTGTAGAATTTGCAATGAACACAGATTCATGAGGAGACACTGTCTTGTTTACATAATTGAACCGTCATAAAGAAAAATTGCAGACACTTTGTGAAGGGTGTGTTTACTAGAAGCTTCTAAAGATCACTTGAGATCTGATACTTAAACTCTTATCGCACAGCAATGCTATAAAACCCCGCAGGACAAGCCATCACATGTTCATTGATACTCTCTATTTAACAATGATTATGACAATGTTGCCAAGGCACCAGATGACACTCCCTGTAGTGTGATACCAGTCACCAGTGTGTGGGTGTGTGAGTCTCCTGTTTGCTATTACAATGGGTAAATCATTGTACATGCTTTGTGATGTGTACAATAGCAATATTACATAACAATTTGATACTCTTATTGGAGTGAGACGAAACACAAAGTTGTCCATTGTGCTGACGTTCATGCGCCGTGGTTCACACAGTGTTATTTTGGTGAGTCTCAGATCTCAGGGGAGTGACAAGAGATCCAGTGGCGCTGTTCATTAATTAAACAGCTAAGCGGGAGAGTCAGGTGTCCTCACGTTATTCTAATCTAATCATTAGATGAGGAGATACATGTATGACATCACTGAAAACTAGCTTCGAATGTGCTGAAGTGGGCAAATGTGCCTGCATGCTCATGTTGTTCTTATATGCTGGCTTGAGTCGAACATTATACTAATCCATCTCCAGCAAATCCAACTAACCTAAGATATGCTAACAGTGTCTACAAAAGCTATTTGTTAGCATTGTGCTAATTGTGCAAATGTACCATACAAATCATGCTAGGTATGACAAAAATGAGATAGCCATGTGTGAAAAATGCTGACATCATCTTAAAAGGATAGTTCAGCTAAAACTGATCATTCTGTCACCATTTAATCATTTATGTGTCACAAACCAGTTTGGATTTCTTTATTTGGTGTTCTGTTAAACACAAAAGAAGATATTTTGAAAAATGTTGCAAACATGTAACCATTGATTTCCATAATATTAGTTGTATAACTGTGGTGGCATGGTGGCACAGTGGGTAGCGCTGTCACTTCACAGCACGAAGATCGCTGATTTGAGCCTCGGCAGGGTCAGTTGGTATTTCTGTGTGGAGTTTGCATGTTCTCCCCGTGTTTGCGTGGGTTTCCTCCGGGTGCTTCGGTTTCTCCCACAAGTCCAAGGACATGAGCTATAGGTGAATTGGGTAAGCTAAAATTGGCCATAGTGTATGACTGAGAATGAGACTTTATGGGTGTTTCCCAGTGATGGGTTGCAGCTGGAAGGGCATTCGGTGCATAAAACATATGCTGGATTAGTTGACGGTTCATTTCACTGTGGCAGATTAATAAAAAGACTAAGCTGAAAATAAAATGAATGAATGTTTTTGCTACTATGGATTTCAATGGTTTATAACATTTATCTAAATATCTTCTTTTGTGTTTAACAGAAAAATGTAATTTCTCATAAAGGTTTGTAATCAAATTGTGAGTAAATAGTGAGATCATTTAAATCTTTTTTGGGGGGTAAACTATCACTTTAATTAGTGCAACATCATGCTAGCTATATGCTAAAACTTGTTAGAAAAAAAGCTTATTTATGTTAGCAGAATGATAAACATGCTAAACACTTTAGCAAACATAATATAGTAATATGTAAGCATGAGGAAATGTGTTAGCTGTGATTGTAACATGGTAGCAGCATTTCAACAAAAACAAGCAAATTTACAACCAAGCTGAAATATGTTTGTTTTTATTGGACATGCTGCTATCATGTCCTCACAGTGCTTTTTAGCATATTATTAGCTTCATTAACACGGGTCAGTGTATTATTAAGGGTGCAGTAGGTTACTGTCTTCAGAAACATTTTTTTTTTTGGGTTTTCACCTTTAATGTATAGAATAGAACAGATTATTGACAGGAAAGCAGGGGAGCAGAGAGAGGGTAAGGATTGGCATAGGTCGACGTGAGCACCAGAGTGCATGTGTTGACGCACTAACCACGACACCACTGGCGCAGACTTCTGAAATTTTTTTTTTGTTGGGCTGGTTGAAAGTCTCCTTACATTATAATAGTAATGATTAAAGTAAATGATCTAAATGTATTTATATTTTTTTATATTCTGGGTAAGGCATGAGAATAAAAAAAAATCATCCAATTAAAAATTATTGGTTCAATAATTACAATAATTCTCATAAGTAGTCCAAACTGTCTGTCAGCAAATGTAGATTTGTACATCTGTGCACTGCGTTCACGCAGATATGCTGTTTGCATGTGCATGTGCGGCATGTTCACGTGCATACATGAGAGTGACAGCGGTAAAAACAAATGCTGAATCAAAGCTTTTAAAAATCTTGAATCAATATGGGAGTTACTTTTGCACACTGGAGGAAGGATGACACCATGGCTGAAGTCTTTTAGACAGGTAATGCTCTGTTTTAAAACTATTGTAGTCAAGTAAAGCTGATGTAGATTTTGTTGTTTTACGAATGGGTTATATGCACAGAAGTGTTGTTCAACCATTGAAATTCTCCTGCGAAATATTGAAGAGACCTTTTACAGCATTAATAATGTATTTGCTATTCGAACTTTACTTTACTGAGCTTTATATTTATAGTTGGCTTTATATTGACATTGGTTCATTTTTGAACAATGACAGCATGTGACGCTCCCTTTATTGTTTACCATGCTACTCTTAATATTCAGTCTGAAATACCACGCAAGTATGGCTTAGTAATAAGTGTAATTCCTGCACCCACCAGCCAACCATTAAGCATACAGTAGTCGATTTAGGACAAAGCGCATAAGAGTGAGACCAACAATCCTTGCATGCATGAAATATTGCACATTATGACAATTTTTGCTTGCTACACAACTGAAAACATACTGCATAAAATAGTTTTTCCTTCAGAATTGTAGTATTATAAAGGACTATAAAGTTTTCTAACTGGCGAATGACTTGATCTAGTGGGTTGTCTACGGCTATCTTAAGGGTGCGTGTTTGTGATTTCAGGAGGCATGACTTTAGACGGCAGGGGAGGGATTGTGTTTTAAAGATAATATGCTAACAGATAGCATTTTGGCAGATCCAACTACTGCACCTTTAACATGTGGCAAGCATGAATTACCATCTTGCTAGCATGTTTCTAACATGTTTTAGCACATGATTGACAATTCTTTAACATGTTGCTATCATGAATTCACATGTTTCTGCTATGTTTCTCGTGGGAAACACATTTGAATCTTTCTGACATATTGCCATGTTTAGCTTACAAAACATTTAAAAAATGAAAGCAAAGCTCTCTCCATCATCAAAAATTATTCTTACAAACATTATTACCTACTTTGTGTTTGTCAATAAAAAACTTTTGGTGACAAATGAGTATTATGCTATGCACTACCCAAATAGGCTTGCATTCATACTATGAGCAGTGGTCTCAAACTCAATTCCTGGAGGTCTGCAGCTCTGCATAGTTCCCCTCCAACCACCTCCAACTCACACCTGCTTAATAGTCTATTGTAGTCTTGAACACCTTGATTGGTTGGATCAGCTGTGTTTGATTAGGGTTGGAGCAAAACTGTACAGAGCTGCGGCCCTCCAGGAATCCAGTTTGTACAATGAGTTTAACCAAAATCTTTATCCTTTAGCTGTCTAACAAACATGCATTCGCTCTTGCCATCTCTCCTTCAGACCTGTCATGGCTGACCCTGCATGGTGGAAGCTCACCTTCCTAAAGAAAAAGAAGTCAGAGGCGAAAGTCCTGTACGAAATACCGCCAGACTTCAGCACCAACAATGCAAATAAAGACCTGGACCATGATGCGGCAGACAGCAATTTAGATGCCAGACTGGAAAAAATAGTGGCCACCAAATCTGCCACCAAAGGCCGTCACGTCAAAGTCTCTCATTCAGGCCGGTTCAAGGAGAAGAAGAAGATCCGTGCAACTCTGGTGGAAAACCCAAGCCTTTTCCCTGAATCTGCTCAGACAGAGAAGAGCCACGTGGAACAATAACATCTAGATCAGGTGGTGTCCAAACTAGGTCCTGGAGGGCCGGTGTACTGCATATTATAGTTCCAATCCCAATTAAACACACATGAACCAGCTAATCAAGCTCTTTCTTGGTATGCACTTCAGGCAGGTGTGTTGAAGGAAGTTGGAGCTAAACTATGCAGGACACCGGCCCTCCAAGATAAGTCTGGACACCCCTGATCTAGACCAAAGACACCATTTGAGGCCTGTTTTTGATATATAACACATTTTTTCAGTGCATTTTTGCTGCAGAGAAGATACTGGTTTTACCATAAAACAAGTTTTACCATCCACATTTCAATCTAAGAGCAGCCCAAGATGAATATTAAGAAGTTTATTTCCTGTAAATGATAAAAACAATGTTGTCATGCTCATGAAATGTAATTCGATCGCCGTGGAACAAACAAAATACCCGACAAGAAAGACAGAACTCTCTCTATTCATTTCTAAATTACATTTAACATGAAGAACGTTCTTAAAAATGTACATTGTTGTGTATGAGTAACTTATGATAAACCTGTGGGAAGCTTAGATTTGATGGACTGTTGTGCCTTTTAATCAGCACTTCATGACGTGATTTTGTTTCTTTTGACCAAGTTGTACTCTCATAAACATGGAGTTGTTTAATGAACATATCTCTAATTTTATCAGTGTATCATAAAAAGGGTTTCAGTTGAAGCATGGACAGCCAATGTGATAACACGAGAGAGATGCTCTCACTACAGCTTTAATTAGCTTAATTTAATCTGCGTTTTTTTTTTTGTATACTGCAATTTCACAGGTTATTGTTAAAATATGCAAAATAAAGATTTGTATTCCATTGCTTAAATGTCATAAAGCGTTTACAGTTTTATGCATAAATTTGGGCATCCCTCTGTGGCTGCTTAGTTATGTGTTCTTTCTTTATAAGAGAAGTGAAATGCCATTCGATATCTAAAGAATCTACAGAATGTCATGTTTTTCAGACAGAAATCCATAGTGTCGCAGTATTGAGATGTGTAAATTAAATTGAAACTGAAAAACAGGCTACGCAAAAGTTTGGGCACCCTCTCCTTTGTGTGGATTTCAAAACCTGTAGTCACTTAATGCTGATTGATTACACAAAATTGATTTGGATGACTTAATCCCTACAGAGGAGCAACCAATCATGAAAAGGGATGTTTATGATAGCTGATTGCTAGTTGTGCTTCTCCTTATTGTGAACCTGAAGGTAGCAACATGGGAACCTCAAAAGAACTTCCTAATGACCTAAAAACTAGGATAATTCACTTTCATGAATTAGGAAAAGGTTGCAAAAGGCTGTCAAAGAGGTTCAAAGTCTCCTTCTCCACAGTCAGAAATATAAAAAGAAAATGGAAGCCTATAGGAACATTTCTTCTGAGGAAAGATGTGCTAGACCGAGAAAAATACCCTAAAGGCAAAGGCGAAGAATGGTTAGAATGGTCACAGACAAATCACAGACCACCGCCAAAGAGCTTCAGAAACATCTTGCTGCTGATAAAGTCACTGTATATGGTTCCACAGTTCAGAGCACTCTTCACAAAGAACAGCTCAATGGAAGGTGATGCGGAAGAAGACTTTTCTGCATTCTGCCAACAAGACGAGGAATGAAAAGGCTCACCTGGACAAGCCTGAACCATTTAGAAAAAATATACAGCGGACAAATGCCACAAACATAGGTGCTTTACATGGCAGAAAAAGAACATGCTCCCTACTGTAAAATATGCTGAAGGGGCCATCATGCTGTGTGGATGTGCAGATACAGGAAACTTTGTCAGAGTTAAAGGTCACATGAATTCCACCCAGTATCTGTTAGGGTGCCCAATTTTTTGCACTGTTTTTGTTAAGACTTAAATTGCATTGCATTTGTTGATTAAATACATGTTATGTCAGAACTGAAATTTTGCCTTTTCCCTAGACTCTGTCTAGAGTATAAATACTCAAATGAATTTACTTATTTGAAATGCCAGCAGGCCACGGCTTGCAATTATGAAATTCATCAGAAGTGGACAAACTTTTGCATAAGACTGTAGATTAAAAGTATCAACAGCAAACACACCGTGCCCATATCTATAAAATAAATGAATATAGTTTGCATGGCCATCTCTTTTAAGATTTGTATGCTTTTTAGTAATAATAATTAGTTGATTTCTGTACCCCCATTCAAGTTTTTGCATAAACCTAATATTATTTATTGGAAAGTCTTTAACACACAAGTGTAAATATACTAAATGTAAATTAAAGGAGAATTGGATATGTATTTGAATACCATTTCAGAGTCCCATAACAAGATAGCAATTGAAGCTTCTAAAATATGAGCTTTATTAAATGTTTTGCATTCATTTGTATTTCATGTGTTTTTTTCTTCAGTTTTTCATCTCTTTCATTTTATTGTCTTTTTTTCTTTCACACCATATTTCTCTATGACATACCATTGTAATACTTCTTTAAAATTGTTATTCTATTTTTGTGCAAAGGGTTATATTTGCATTGTTCTATTATACATTTGCTACTTTATTTTCATTGTAATTGCCTGGTATTGCAATAAACAGCAAACAACGCCGCCATCTGCTGGCGAAACAAAAACACGACGAACATCATTGGAAAAATGAAACAGGTTTACTCATTTTTTGGTTGCACATTAACACAAAATGTCAATACAGCAAGTATTTTAGATTAGCTCGAAGTTTGGCACATTTATAACAAACAACCTAATCAAATATTTCACATTTAGATTACACATTAAGTACATCAACATGTTGATTGCTTTTTTCTTATTTTTTTTGTTTGTTGTGACAGAAGTCCAAAGTCTGTTCTCTGAAACTACAGTTGTGACTGCTGTGTCAAGTACAGCTGTGCTTTTCTATTATGAATAACCATCAGACAGTCAACAGACTGAACTAAGAATACTAAGGTCATTTAAAGGCTTAAAGGCTCACTTGAAAATGTAAACTAGCTTTACTCAACATTGGGCCATCCAAAATTACACTGTTTGTACATTAGAAGAGATTATAATTTTTTTTTGTCAAAACTGTGGTCTTTGGTGATTCATTAAATAAAGTCATCTGCTACTGGCATCTTTAGAGGTATCTAGAGGCAAAATAAATAATTAGATTAATGTAATTAACATGCATTTATAACATTATTATATTAAATTATTATGCATTTCTTTTCCACTGCATGTGATTTTGTTTTCTCTTTTGTAAAAGTGGCGTTAGACTTTCAGAAATCACCAAGAACCACATTTTTAGCCAAAAATCCCCTTTACATTTTCTGAGGAAAAAAAAGTCTGCTACATCTTTGATAGTCTTTTTTGAGGCAGAGTTAATAAACAGCAAATATTAGTTTTTTCATGAAATAGCCTTCATTTATAGCACAACATGACTTCTATTCATAAAACCACATCTACAGTTATCAACAGATGAAACTTCCTTTCTGATTCTGGTTAAGACAACATGAACGCAGGACATTGATGGAGTGATAAATCTTCAACATTGCCCTGGTGGGATTTTAAATGACAGTTACTGCCAAGAAATAATGATGATGTATTGATGTCACATACTATAACGTTGACTTCACAGCATGTGGACTATCAAGGGGACAAGCGCTGGTAAATCCAGCCTCCCTCTGCTTGATGCTGCATGTCCCCCAGCTCGGTCTCTCCCCCTTTTGGCCGCAAAAAGACTATCCGATCATGTAATCTGTTAGTCTGACCCTGCCAAAACTCAATCAGGGAGGGTTTCACAATGTATCCACCCCTGGAGAGAAAAAAAAAAGTAAGTATAATGCTTCTGGTTAAATATAAACACATTTGCTATTATTAAGCTTATTTTACACACCAGTAATCTGGCATTGGTACATCTGTGTCCTTGAACTTCTCTTCAAGCTCTGCATTCTTGTCTCTTAGGTACTTTAAGGGAAGCACATAGAAATGGGTCATTAACAAAATTGTTTTACAAAATCAGGAGGTAAATTAAGAGCTGTAATGTGAATGATTATTATTATTTAGCTGAAAGATAATACAGAGGATAGCACTGTTTTTTAGGATTACTTCTAGTTGAAGACAAAAATACATATTCAAATTATTTTTCTTATTTTAGCTTGGATGGAAATTTTGTATGTTTGTTTTTAAACTGCTATGGTCAATATTATTAGCTCCCTTTAGATTTCTTAAAAATAACTTAACGTAATTAACCTAGATAAGCCCTTAAATGGCACTTTAAGCACTATATACAGTGCATTTGTAAAGTATTTATAGTGCTTCACTTTTTCCACTTTTTTTTTTCTCTCAAAATTCTACACACAACTTTAGTTTTATTTTTAATTGTTGCAAGTTTATTATTATTGCTCATCACCAGGCTAATACCATTAATACAGTGAAACATGGTGGTGGCAGCATCATGCTGTGGGGATATTTGTCAGCAGCAGGAACTGGAAGACTAGCCAGGATAGAGGGAAAGATGAATGCAGCAATGTACATAGACTTCCTGAATGAAAACCTGCTTTAGAGCGCTCTTGATTTCAGACTGAGGGGACGGTTCATCTTTTAGCAGGACAATGACCCAAAGCAAACTGCCAAAATATTAATGGTGTGACTTTACAACAACTCTGTGAATGTCCATAAGTGGCCCAGCCAGAGCCCAGAGCTAAATCCTAATGAACATCTCTGGAGAGATCTGAAAACGGCTGTACACTGTTGCTTCCCATCCAAGCTGATAGAGCTTGAGAGGTACTGCAAAGAGGAATGGGCAAAATTTCTCAAAGACAGGTGTGCCAAGCTTGTGGCATCATATTCAAAAAGATTTGAGGCTGTAATTGCTGCCAAAGGTGCATCAACAAAGTATTGAGCAAAGGCTGTGAATACTTATGTACATGTGATTTTTTATTTTTAATAAATTTGCAACAATTGCAAAAATTATTTTTTCACGATGTCATTATGGGGTTTTGTGTGTAGAATTTTGAGCAAATAAATGATTTTTTAAAATCATTTTGGAATAAGGCTGTAACATAAAAAATGTGGAAAAAGAGGAAGCGCTATGAAGACTTTCCGGATGCACTGTATGTATATGTATTGTCATCATGGCAAAGACAAAAAAAAATTAGTTATTAAAACTATTACGTTTAATAAATGCAATTGGAAAATATTAGAAAAATAATTACAATTTGACAGGAGGGCTAATCATTTTGTTTTCAATTTTATATAACATTATAGTTTTTGAAGTTTTAAAAAAGATTTATATTTGAATATAGGCCTATTTTAGGTATACATTTAGTCATTTCTATTCCTCAGGGATGGGTTGCGGCTGGAAGGGCATGCGCTGTGGCGACCCCGGATTAATAAAGGGACTAAGCCGACAAGAAAACAAATAAATGAATGAATTTAGTCATTTCTATTAGTTTCTTGTACTATTTTATTGACCTTATTCTTCACATTTAAGTGAGCAAGGCCACTGGAAACTTTTTGGCTCGAGACTTCCAGTTTCATTCACTTTCACTGATTTTTATATGTTTAAAATGGCTTGTTATGCTGCTTGATGTTGCAAACTGATATTTTATAATTATATCATTCTACATTTTAAGAATAGTCTTGAACACACTCGTTTGTAGAGCAAGTAGTTTGACCGTTTTCTGCTGTTTATTATTCCTATTCATTTCTGCCATAGTCAACTCAATTGGAAGTTCTAAAACAATCACAAAAAACGACTACACTTCTGCATTGCAGAATAAAGTCAATAGGTGACCCTTACTACAGCATACTAATCCATTTGATACAATATATTACAATGTATATGCTGGTACTTAACATTTAAAACACCACTATAATATAACCATTA